TTTTTTTTTTTTTTTTTTTTGGGTACAAATAAAGGAGACTAAAGTACCAATGAGGTCATGTTGTAACTACGATTTAAGTATTTAACCACTAATGGTGGATCTAATATTCGTTGACAACTATTAGAACTCTTAGTAATGAGCTAGAGTCGCCAAATAATGGACGGCAAAATTAATTTCTCTGTAATAATGAGTCACATTAGCCTCCCAATCTCGATTAAGCAAGTCCCGATGGTTAGAACCAAGCTACCATGCACTTCCTCCGGAATAATTTTTTATTTTTTTATTTTTGGCTTCTCATCAGTCACACACAGGAACCGCGTCTGACCTTTCCCATGACTTTTCCGTTGGGCCCCCAACCTTCTCGATCTCATCAGATTTCCGTGGCCGCCCTTAAATTCTACTCCCTCCTTTTTTTTTTTTAAATGTCATTCTAGTATTTTTAATTATTTGTTAAATAAATGTCGTTTTGGATCTTTTGTACATATTTTCTATTATTACCCTCATTTAGCCAATAAATATATTATGTCTTTTCATATTCACTATTTATTTTTTCTCAAAATATTTATCTCTATCTTCATTAAATAAGGTTATTATTGACAAAAGAAATATTCTTAATTAATGTGCAACTTTTAAAAAAGACATATATATTAAAAATAGGACGTAGTAATTTCTTCTGCCTCGAGCTAAGAGTGTGATGTAATCGAAGTACAAAACCCACAACAATTGGTACAAACATCAATTTTTGCCCAGATCCGAGCTCCGCCACTCTGCATCCATGGCGGAAAACGGTGAGGAGAAGCTCATAGCCGTCGCCCGCCACATAGCCAATACCCTAGGCCACACTGACACCATGACCGACGACATCCTCAAGATATTCTCTAATTTCGACGGCAGGCTCCGGGAGAAGCTCACCGAGAATATCTCTGTGGACGGCGCCGAACAGACGCTGGACTCTCTCGACCGGCAGATCTCCCGCTGCGTTGCCGCCGATCGCCCCGTCTGGTCCAGCTCCGCCGATTCCTCCGCCTTCCTCGATTCCGTCGACCAGCTGATCTCCGCCGTCCGCGACTGGACCCCTCTTGCCGACGACAAGGGCATCTCCTCCTGCCTCGACCGCGCCGAGGAACTGCTCCAGCAGTCCATGTTCCGCCTGGAGGACGAGTTCCGGACGCTCGCCGAGCGCGGGGCGGAGTCGTTCGACCTGACCCGATCCGAGTCGGCACACTGCGATTCCTTCTCGGACGAGGACGATTTCGACGAGGATAACGAGGATTTCATCCCCGTCGCACATCCCATCACCAATTACGACGTGGTGATCGACGCCCTCCCGGCGGGGACCATCGGCGAACTCCACGAGATCGCGAGGCGGATGGTGGCCGCCGGCTACGTGAAGGAGTGCTCGCACGTGTACAGCACTTCCCGGCGGGATTTTCTGGATGAGAGCTTTTCCAGGCTCGGCCTTCAGAAGCTCAGCATCGACGATGTTCACCGGATGCAGTGGGCCCAGCTGGAAGACGAGATCGAGAAATGGGTCAAGACCATCAACGTGGCCCTTCGGATCCTCTTCCCCAGCGAGCGGCGGCTGTGTGACCGAGTCTTCTTCGGTTTTCCAAATGCCGCTGACCTCTCGTTCATGGAGGTCTGCAGGGGATCCATCATTCAGCTCTTGAATTTTGCTGATGCTGTGGCAATAGGAAGTCGGGCCCCCGAGCGACTGTTTAAGGTGTTGGATGTTTACGAGACAGTGAGGGATCTGATGCCTGAATTCGAACTCATCTTTTCAGATCAGTACTGTGTACCTTTGAGAAATGAGGCTGTTACTATCTGGAAAAGGTTGGGGGAAGCTATTAGGGGAATATTCATGGAGTTGGAGAATTTGATACGTAGGGACCCGGCTAAAGATGCTGTGCCCGGTGGCCGATTGCACCCCATAACTCGATATGTTATGAATTATCTACGTGCAGCGTGCCAGGCTCGGCTGACTTTGGAACAGATTTTTGAAGACAGTAGTGTACTGAGCAATGTTGATTATAGGAAAGGGGATGATCATGGTTTGTTGTCCTCGTCATCCTCGTTAGCAGTTCAAATGGCGTGGATTATGGAGTTGTTGGAGAGTAATTTAGAGGCCAAGTCGAAGGTTTATAAGGATTCTGGACTTTGCTCTGTGTTTATGATGAATAATGGGAGGTATATTGTGCAGAAGGTGAAAGACAATGAGCTTGGCACACTCTTAGGTGAGGATTGGATTAGGAAACACACGGCGAAAGTGAGGCAGTATCATTCGTATTATCATCGAAGCTCGTGGAGTAAGATTTTGGGAGTCTTGAAACTCGATAACAATCCAGTGTCCCCAAGTGGGAAGAGCATGAGGGAGAAACTGAAGCTATTTTATTCGTACTTTGATGAGATATGCAAGACTCAATCTTCATGGGTGGTATTTGATGATCAGTTGCGGGATGAACTGAGAATTTCGATTTCGGGTTCTTTATGCCCAACTTATCGTAGTTTCATTACGAGGATGCAGGGTTTGCCGGATATTGGGAAGAACATAGATAGATATATAAGGTATAGTTTGGAGGATGTTGAGGCTCGGATTGGAGGGTTATTTCAAGGTACTAGCAGTGGAAGAAGGTAAATTCGGAAAGCAAGTAAGCAAGAGCGATCTTTTGTTTGTGTGATGTACTTGTATTGTATATAATGGTGCAGCATTTGAAGGGTTTTTGTTGTTTTTGTTGTGTGGTTCTGTGTTGCCTTGATGTGTGCTGTGACTAAAAAGTGAAAATCCTTGCATAAACTTGTATGTTTAAGTTGAAATCTTGGCTGTTTGTTGAGGTCTTCTGTTATTTAATTGAGAGTCCAGCATATATGCCCTTTCTTTGAATTGTCTTTACAAGCACACATGGATGTGGGTGCTAAGAAATAGGAATCTAGGCTTGTTCATATGATATATCTGCATTTGAGGTTGTTTCATTGTAAGAAAAGCCAGTTATAGTATAGAAATCACAAACATTACCTTGAGATTTATTGCATACTTGGATATAAGCTTTTTTTTTTTA